TTTTCTCACTCTGCTATTTCAAGGAAAACCAATGAACATATGCTTAGCAGTAAACACTTAGAAAAATAAAAATAAGTTATCACAGAGATCCCGACCACTTTACCAAACGACACTGACCGATGAGCTATGACAAGCTGAGAACCAGCTGGGACCTGACACCCCTCCAGTGTGCAAGCCCCACACACCACGAAGTGCCCTCTGCTGGGCCGCCTGGGTAAGTCCAGTCACAGCCAGCACGGGCTCCACCGAGGGCAAGTCCTGCTTCTGTTATTTGCTTGATAAACCGCTGACGGTCTTCACTCTTAAGCTGGATGAGACTTCCCGGGACGTCGAGAGGCTGGACGACAGAACCAGAGTTCTACGAACGGTATTTCTAGCAATGGGAAAGAAAATTACCAGCACTGTTCTGCAGGGCGGGGGGCGTAGCCGAACAGCTAACATCATCGTGGTTTTCAGTGTTGAATACGAATCACCGAATGCGTTAAACGTTTTAATGTTGTCTTTCTTGACTGTTCTGGATTTACAAGGCTTTTAAAAGTAACCCAAATATTTCACTGGATCATGAACTTCCAAATTCCTAATGGGTTATCCTTACGTCCCATGGAGGCTCAGGAACCACATCGATGTGCTGTTAATATGATGATAACAGAGGACGACTTTATCTCCCCAGAGACCCTCCCCAGCAAAGCACATTTAACATTGCCAAGGCTCTCTTTTTCCATCATGAAATGGGGTAGAATTATAGATCTCACGTGAGAACTGTGGGAATTTCACAGGGTACCACAGGAAGCCCCTCGTAAGGCACTAGCCGGGGGCAAAGGCCGAGGACATTCATACCTGGAAAAGCCACTAATGTGTAATTTACTCCTCCAGTGTCTGAATTTGAAGCCAAATACACAGATTATTTAAAAATACCTAATAGATTTTTTTTCCTTTTTTGTCTGGTTGGGTCACATATTTTTGTTGGTTATAACACTAGCATTTATACTCTGTAAATCACAAAAAGCTCCATTTAAAAATGCATTTTTTTCTAGCAAATTTAGCAGATGCTCCATGTTTCCATAATTAACGTGAATTCAATGCGTGATTAACTCCAACTCGCTACTGCACGAGTGCAGGGATTTGTACAGTTTAAGATAGGATTCATTGAAGCACAGTTACTATAAAAACAATTATAGGATTCATTGAAGCACAGTTACCAAAAACAACTAACTGCAAACACAGAGGCTTCCACACGGTCATGAAAAGAATATTACGCGGGCAGTTTGTTCAGCAAGAAAAGAGTTCACATTCCAGGAGGACCAGGCACACAGCCCTGAGCAGCTGCCCGGGTCATCTTATGTGCACTTGAGTGCATTGCTGAAGCCTTGAGGAGGCTGTATTAGGCCAGGTTTCACCAGCAATGATGACCATATCTTCAAATCCAAATCTTCAGGAGCCTCTGGCCACCAGATAATTGCAGCAGGCAAAAACAAGTTCACCGTATTTGTCAGGATGGCTGAGTGGAAGACGTTTCTCTTATTGATTAGCATCAAAGTGTAGAACCAGAATTTCTAGAAAATGTAGGAAGTTGCTTGAGTCCTAAATTATTGCAAACTTTTAAGAATCAGCAACAAGCACAAAAAGTCTGGTTTGACCCCATATTTATTACGAGGAGTCACACCAAGATCCTCGTCAAATCACAGAGTTAGTAAGAAGGAGGGGTAGAGAATAATCACATCCAGAAAAATCAGCAAAATAAAAAACGAGGGAATGGCGAACACATTCCCTTCTGCAGGTCCCTGGCAACGTGGTCTGAGATTCTTTAACATTCATAAAACAAATATTTCCTCTGATGAAAAATTCTAAGGGTCAAAGCCTGATTAGATTCATATGGCGTAGAGAAATTTAAAGTGATATTTTGCTTTTGCCTGCAGGGCAGACAAACTCTGCTGGTTTTACTTCCTTCATTTCCCCAGCCCTCCCCATCACCACCCTGGCCCCAGGCTGGAGTCCTGCCCTGTCACCCAGGCTGGAGTGCAGTGGCATGGTCTCGACTCACTGCAACCTCTGCCTCCCAGGTTCAAACGAGTCTCCTGCCTCAGCCTCCCAAGTAGCTGAGATTACAGGTGCCTGCCACCACGCCCGGCTAATTTTTGTATTTTTAGTAGAAATGGGGTTTCACCATGTTGGCCAGTCTGGTCTCGAACTCCTGGCCTTGTGATCTGCCCGCCTCAGCTCCCTCATTTTTTAAGTCATGTGTTCACACACTGTTGAGTTTCCCTGATCTTACTCTTTCTGTTCATGAAGCACTTAATCATACACTGCAATTTAGATTTCACAAGGGATGAACTGTGAACAGGAAACTGATGTGCAGGAACTTAATCTATGACAGGGCTGTAACACTCAGGAATATCTAAATACAGGGGACAGATGGGTGAGAGACTGATTTACATTACAGGTAGATCAAGGGAGAGTAAGTTGGAAGTATGCATTCTTGAATCTTGGCGAAAATAGAGAACTTGGGATTCTTTTTCTAGCATGCAGCAGCAAGCCTTCTTTTAGGAGGAGAGCTTGATCACGCGGTGGAATTACCGTCTAATTCAGATTCAGTAGAGTTACTCTCTTTCTGAGGAGCTGCAGGTACCAGCTGGAATCCGAGCACCCAGACCTGGGAGGCCCCATGAGCTGCACACCCACCTCCCTGCCCCAGGGCTGCTCTTTCTTCCCCCTGGGCTGGGACAGCGTTGGGCTCTTCTTCTTTTCTGTATCTGCTTGACACAGTGTTTGGCACAAAGTTCAAGGAGAGTTATGTATTAAGGAGTGAATAAAGAGCTACTGTAAGCCCAAGATGGCAATAATAGACTGCCAGTAATCTGAAATATCTGTTAGTTGGATGTGAGCTTAATTAAATCACACATGTAATTGAATTATGCTAGATTTAGCGAAGAAATACGTTATAGCTTTGCCAGGGTTGGAAACATCGGATGCTTTCTGAATCTTCCTTCGGCATATGCAGTTCATAAATAATTTTAAGCAAAGCTAATTTTATCTTCTACATTATGAATTTTCTAATTACACGTTCCAAGAAGTGTGTATTATACTTTTAGACACATCTCCCTGATTGTACCACCTTAATAAAATTAAGATGTCATAACCATTATAATAATGAAATATATCTTTTATCTTTTTTGATACCATTTCTATAAGAAAGTCCTTTTCTTTTCACCTGATCAGTCAAGATAATTAAATGTCCACCAGATGATAACATGCAGCTGGTCTTTTCCTTTAGCTGGAAAAAGCCAGAATTACTTGTGTTATTCAGGGTTTTCTGCAGGGGGTCGGGGTGATTTGGCGATTAAAGCATCGATATCTACGTAAATTAAAATTCAGGTTATTCAAAAATAAGTTTAATTTGGAAAGAAATAGGGCTGCTTGCTGTTTGGTGGGGTGGGCATGTGTGTGTCTGTAGTTATGTTGGTGTTGTTTGGTGGTGTTGTTTGGAGGGGTGGGCATGTGTGTGTCTGCAGTGTTTGGTGGGGTTGGCGTGTGTGTGTCTGCAGTTATCTTGGTATTGTTTTCAGGTTAGTCTTTGTCCCAGACAAAAGTGCTCTGGTTTGTGTGATAAATTATTTGGTTATTTTTTATACCAAATACGAGAGTCTAAAAATGCATACATTATGCTTTTTGTAGATTCTCCTAATTCTGTTTTTCATGTGTTTTTGTTTGCCAATTTCACTGGTTGTTAAATACCTTTATTTATCTTTTCACAAAAATTTTTTTCACATAAAATTCACATTTTTCACATTAACAATTACCTCACAATTATTTATTAAATACCAAAATCAAGAATGAATTGTTCAGAGTGAGAAGAAATTTTCTTTCTGTTTTAAAGGGCCTAACGTCTTAAATGCAAACTCCTAACATTTGTACAACACACACCACTTTTGGAGAAAACGTGAAACCATCCTCCACCAAAAGCGCATCCGGATCTAGCAGGGCTAGTTCTTCATCATCCTACATGGTGAAGCTCAGTTCTAAGATTAATTTCCAAATAAGCTACTCCAAGCCACTAAGTAAATCCAAAGTTGTATAGAACATTTAAGGTTGTAAAAAGGACCTTAAATTACCCAGTACAACTTTCTTGTATTACAGATAAAGAAATTAAGCCTCTGGAGTGAATTTGTTAAAATTACACCACCACATAAGCGTCTGGTCAGGGTTATTAGGTCCACGGTTTGCCTTTGGCTTTTTGCTTTGTCAAACAAGGCCACCCAGATGGATGTGAAACACACAACGTTTAACATGTGGTAGAATTTCACTGAGATGAAGCAAAAACAAGGCCACCCACTGCCTCTGAGGTCTCCGGAAGACGGACGGTCCTTCAATGTGCTCCGTACCAGGAGATGTGCTCCGTACAGGTTTTTATGTTTCTCTGAACTATTATTTCATCATCTCTTATGAGTCGATGATAAGGAGGATTAAATTCCAAAGTAAAAAGAAAATGCCTTCCTCTCCGGAGCAGTGCTCTTTCCAACATGAGAAGTAATTCCAGAACAGCTACACAAGTCAGCATGTTCTCTGAAGCACATAAAGGCCAAGTCCGTAAACGCTGCCCGTTCCCACGCATGCTCTCCACCTGCGGGCATCGCCGTTTAGCATCAAGGATCTGTCTGCAAGGTGACAATCCCTCTGGGGGCCGGGAGAGGATGGCTGTCCTCGTGGCAAACAAACTGAGAAACAGAGAAGCAGCAGCCAACACTGAGAAACACCAGAAGCTGCGGCTCCTCCCAAGATCTCGGCAGAGTCTCAGGTTTGCCATAAAGAGGATCTCAGGAGACATTCTGCTAATTTGAGTGTGTGAATAAGACACAATATCAAATGGTGAATAAGACACAATATCAAATGGTGAATTATTCATAGAGACTATGGCAAAACTTTGGCCCACCGTCCCACCAGCCTTGATAAAAAGCTGGAGATAAAGTGTTTCCTCTGTGAACCATAGAGACATACGCACTTTGTGGAAAAGCTTCAGAACTTCTGTTACAAAAACACATAGTAGGGAAATTATGTATAAGAATATGAAACGAATCCTATATTAATTTGAAGAATTTATAGAAATAATCATTAAATAGCTATGTAAACAAAAATAGTTGATGGTAAATTTAGAATAATATTAAGAGATAAAAGATTTAGAAGAACTATTTATTCTGTTTCTTTTCTAATGTAGAAATGTTGACTAGAGAGGTTTAATTTAAAACACAGCCCTATTTTCCCATTCTTTTAGTAAATATTTGATAGGCAGGAGACCTCTTCGAAAGTCCTCCATCGTGAATTCAAATATTCTTGCTAAGCACTATTTTGTGCACTATTTAAAACAAATTGAACACGTTTTTCTCAGTTTTCTTGAGGCTATGATGCATGTTTCTTTAAGCCCATAAGAGATATAACCAAAAATGAATGAACTGTAAGTAACATACTCCCTTACATTACAAGTTAAACCGTAAGTTTATTATAAAGGAAACAAGAATAACACAGTGGCTTAAAAGCTGATTTGCCTGATATTCAAACAGCTTGATTACAATAGAGTTTTCCTAAGTACTCACAGACCTGGGAAGTGAGCAGAAAATCAGGCCTGAGGGTGGCTACAAAGGTAGCCCTCGTGAATCCAGGACAACGTTTCCAGGATACCGTTAAGGGCATTGGGCTCCAGGTGAACAAACTGCCTGGATCTGGGGATGGCAGGATCCTATCCACCGGCAATAACACCCATTGGGTCAAAGCCCTCCCGGGGGGTGAAGCTTTCCTAGTAAGGATTTTATTTAAGAAAATAATATAATGCTTAAAATTTCAAATTGCACGGGTGTGTCATTACAAAGCCCTTCTCAGTTTAAACAAACATATCTAAATCATCATTTAAATCACGATTCCTTACAAAAAAACGTAACTGCCAATGGAGAAATCATCCATACACAGGAGATCAGAATGACCTATGCTATTCCCATAGACAGAGCAGTTTTACAGAATTAACAGGGAGGGCAGAGACCACAAAATGCAGTCTGAAATGTGCTAACGTTTTCCTATCAACATTTCCAAATTAAATTTCAAACAACCAAAGAGACTGCTTTTTGAGATGTGTTTCATCATGAAGCAGAAAATACAAACCCTACCTGGTCGGAAGGAGAACAGCATTTGTTCGCCATCTTCATCTGTGGAGAAAAGGCAGAGAGTCAGCGCCACAGCCACCAACACCAGGACGGCTCACCTGAGTGACAGCTGGAAGTCATCAGCCACACTCTGTCCTGGGAAACAGGCTTCTTTAATGACACATTTCCTATCTGAAAACCTAGCCAGAGTCAATACAAGCATGGCAGCAGTGGAAAAAACTTTACTAGCAGACTTCAATTCGTCTTTTTCAAATATCAGCATTTATGTAGGTGAAGTTATGGGAGAGCAGGTGCTTAAATTCCAATATCTGAGAAAAGTGACGAAATGATTTCTGCTCTACATAACCTTCTGACAGTCAGTATTACTGTGATGGTAATTACGGTTATCACAGTTGATAATCTTTCTTTTATTTAGTTCACCCAATGACCTATGGAGGTAGATGCTGTTTTCCAAAATTTCACTAACGAGGGAGTGGAGGTGCAGAATCATAACACTCCCACAGCCCACAGCCACAAAGCCACACAGCCCACAGTCACACAGCCCACAGTCACACAACCCACAGCCACACAGCCCACAGTCACACAGCCCACAGCCACACAGCTCACAGTCACACAGCCCACAGCCACAGAGCCCACAGCCCACAGCCACACAGCCCACAGCCACACAGCCCACAGTCACACAGCCACACAGCCCACAGTCACACAGCCCACAGTCACACAGCCACACAACTCACAGTCACACAGCCCACAGCCACATAGCCCACAGTCACACAGCCCACAGTCACACAGTCACACAGCCCACAGCCACACAGCCCATAGTCACACAGCCACACAGCCCACAGCCACACAGCCCACAGTCACACAGCCACACAGC